GTGGAAACTTTTAAAACACGAACAAAGGCGACTGAAAGGCCAACAAAACCACAAAAACGGATAACGTTAACAGAGAAAGTAAAAAATTTGGCTTTATGCGCATACCCCAACACCTCTCATAAGCGGACACTTAGTCATGTACCCACTGCATACGTATACACATCCAAGTATTTTAAGGGGTTTATACTCAAGTTACAGTTTAAAGTTGCTCGATTATTAGCCAAAACACTTTTTTATCTTTCCTTTGTCAGTGTAGGTATGTGAGTGAAAGGGGTATCATTCTATGGAAGGTATATAAAAGGGTTACCCCTATTCTGTCAAAAATGGTATATAAAAGGGTAAAGGTTTGGACCTGTGGGCGGAGCCTCCCCGTCAAACTTTGTTGGGTACTCCCCTGGGGGGTCCGCCTACGGGACTGAATTCGGTACTGAAATACTTGCCTTGAAGTAGAATAAGGGAACGGTTAGTTTCCATGTTTTTGTCTTCAATAAACTGCTAAATTGTGGGAGACGCGATGTAGCAATACTTCATGCTACAGAAACCGGGATAAGCTCGGCTTTACCTACCTACCTTACCTATACTCTAAATGGTGCAAGTACACTAAAAAACTTGTAGCCCTCCAAACTCTAGCCTTCTCGTGTTTATCCGTTCCCCGCATCTGCGATACGCGTGCGTTACACGTTAGATTGTGGTCAAGAGCTTCTTGCAAAACAATAAACATCATGAGAAAGATATTATTCTGTCAGTGACACAAGCTGCTCGGAAAAAAATTCGAGTTCCCCCAACAGGAGTCGAACCTATGACCTTCCGCACACCGGTCGGACGCTCTACCACTGAGCTACAGGAGACTCGTGGGAGCTAAGGCCATATAACTAGGTTCAAGTGTGACAAACATCCCGCATACTGCTAGGATTAGATTTGTCGATGATAGAGAATTTGTGGAAAGAAATGATGGTATATTTTTAAGCTTGGGAGAAATATGAGAAATATATTATTCTGTCAGTGACACAAGCTACTCGGAAAAAAAATTCTAAACATCACATAACAACACTTTATTTATACACGAAGCGGAAACGCACCAGAGATTACGGAGTCGTTTATTAAAAAAAGTAATAATAAGTCTCAAAGCAGGATACAAGTGGCATTCCTTACTTTATTCCATCTCTCTGTTCATTTGCTGAGAATATATCCGGTCAACACTTTGCAGAGTTCTATTAAAAGTTACCAATTAAAAGAATAACACGCCCATGACGTCATACATGATGTAATTAACAAAACCATCCTTAGAAGCCAATCAGAACGTGAACCAAAAACATTACGTAACAAACCGGGCCTTTGGTAAGCCTCTACATTTATATCTTAATTCTCCCTAATTTTCCAGGCGCACATAACAAAACACGCACATACTCAACAAAACGCACCCAACAAACGGGGCCTTACATGGTAAGCCTCTACAGTGGATCCCAATTTCTCGAACCTCCAAGGGATTGGTTCGAGAAATCGGGAGTTCGAAATATCGGGGGTAAAATTACAGTGAAACAAATCCATGGGAAAACGAGTTTTGGTTCGAGTTATCAGGGTTTTTGAGAAAATGAGGGTTCGAGAATTTGAAATTACTACCTTAGCTAATTTTCCATGCGTTTTTTTTAATGTTAGTTTTGAGAAAATATTAAAAATATTCACTGCTGATCACTCTTGAAAAGTAGAGGGCTTATATCATACATTTCTCAGATTGAGTATTGATAAGACAACGATAACTTGTGGATCAGCAGAAATTAACATTTTGAGATAATTTGTTACAACCACTAAATTCTTTAGAGATAATAAACTGAAAGAACTTCAAAATGTCTTAAAAACTTAAAGCATCAGAGCGTAATTGATAGCTTAAAGGGATTCAGCGTTTAGAATAGGAGCACTGGCTTAATATTCTATAATCCATTTAGCAGAGTTAGGAATCACTAACTTTTAACTATTAAAAACAGGAACAAGACGAGCAATTGCACGCCTACAAACTGGGCAATTATTTACCTGTTGAGCGCATTCTACGCAACAACAGATATGCCCACAGTCTAAAATAACAACATTACGTTGTCTGTCCATACAAATGACGCAAGCTTCCTGCTGATCCAAAGCTTCGCCCTCGCCCAGAACATTCACCTCTTCCCGCATTCTCCGGATAAAGTCCAGCTCCAGCTGTCTGTCACGCCGTCTCTTGAAGTAAAAGTACAGCGAAACAAGGAATAGAATTCCACTTCCAAAAGCAAAGATGGCACTTAGAATTCTCCACACTTTCTTTCCCGATTGCAGTTGTCGGACAATAGCATCTAATGTGAGTTGCGAGAGATAATAGGTGAGGCCAGATTTTGGCGGCCCTATCCTGATGCCGTTGTCTGTCAGAGTAATTTCTCCAATGCCGGTCAGTGTTGTGCCAACAGGTAACATCTGCTCGATTGTCTGGAATCCCTTTGTCTTGTCGCCGCTGGCCCACTGTACTAAGGACTCTGCCACACTGGTAGTGGCGGGCTCAAACTTGTCATATATTACATTCAGTTGAAGCTTTTCTGCTGACAGAGGCTCCATGACTTTAACAATGTAACCACCTTTAAACAGGGAGAATGGCACAGATGCCGACGTGAAGCTGATTGTTCGTTCTAAGTCATGCCTACGGATTGATGAAATTGAATTATTACAAACTACATGATTGAAAATTTAAAGAGGATAGGTCATACTACTCAGTCGCCAGGGAACAAGTGCCGTTGATAGTGAAATCCTGCCATCAAGACAGGAATGATCCCACGGTTTTCATTCCCGAAGTTGCTAAGCAACACAACGTATCCTCATTGCACTTTGCTGGCGTGATTGCTTTTGGAGTACTCGTGAGTGCTTGTGCTAGTTTTTGATTGGATAAAAAGATTCAGAAACTTTTCGATTGCTTCAAATAACTTTTCCAGGACTCCTGTAGATTTTCCAGACTCCAAATGCACAAGAAATCTGTATTTGTTCTTCGCATTTTGTGAGAATTCCCTCTAGTTTTTTTTTTACCATTCTTTATTGATTTCCAAGCCTTTCTAGGACCAGGCCCCAGTCCTGCCAGAAGATGCCAGAACAAAATAGCCCACTTCGAAAACGAGTGACAGCCTGGGATCGAGAGTGGGCTGAGTGGCCACCCGAAGCCGCCCGAGGGTTTGTGGGATCGTTTTGGGGGGACGCGAAGGCAAACTGCACGCGCAGATGACGAATTTATAGATGATTTCTTAGCGTGAAATAACGTATCTTTTTTAGTTGATTGCAGTGTTATTTTCCCTGAAATCTACAATAACATTCTTGAAGGAAAAACCTAATACGGAAAGACTACAGATGCCCGAAATATAGTATTTCCTTTCTTTATAAACAGCTGTAGTATAATATTGTTGAGCATTTTAACTACTTGTTTACGGTTTTTTCCTACCTTGGTCGCGCAATAAAATTCGCCATTTGCGCGTGCATTTAGACCCTGGCAAACAATCCCACAAACATTCGCGCAGCCACTCTCGATCCCAGGCTATCACTCTTTTTTGAAGTGGGCTATTACAGGATTTTCAGGATTTTGAGGACCCGTACAAACCCTGTTAGCTGAAAGCAGGGCTCCTTAAATTATTTTCATACAATTGCGAACATACCACAGCCTCGTTGTTCGACTCCATTCACTTTTATGTTCTCGTGTCCTGACCCGCTGTATAAGTCCAGTGACATCAGCTACATGAGGACTCTTGATTACGTCACTACTTTTTATGGGTCTAGCCTTTCCTCTAATGACACCATAAGGTATTGAATGGGTTTCAGATGCCATCAACTTGGACATCAACTGTGATCCAATTTCAATTTCTACTGCATCCTGAACATAAAAGGGAACATTTTTAGTGTTTTTCACTCCTAGTAACATACCACCAAAGCACTAATGTCTTATTGTGTGGTTCCAGAAAATATCCATACCCACTCCAATGAAGGTCACTGGAAATTCCAGGGAGGCAGGGGTTCAGACCAAAAACCTTCCATGGGAGGGGAATGGATATTTTCTGTAACCACACATTACTGAGTTGAATCTCTCCACAATGGCCACCTAGAGAGGTGGCCGCTCGCTAGTAGAGGTTCGACGGTAGTTGTGCAATTGACAAAAAAACAGATGTCTCATGCTTGGGTATCCTGTGGACATGTCTCCGAAATGAAGAACCACGAGTAGACATCCACAGGACACCCAGATGATCTACTTTGGTGTATAATAAACAATTTATTACGCGGAAATCTGTGTAATACGGCTGGGCATTTTTATTCGTCAATGTTTATTTTTTCTCGACTAAAGGCTCGAAAAAATAAAAACTGACTCGAAAAATACCCAGCCGTATTACACAACTTTCCACTGAATATAGTCACCTCTCTCTTAACGGACACCTCTATAAGATGGACACCTCTGTAAGACGGACATTGTGGCTGGAGATAGCTTTGCTACGTAAAATTCATATTTTAAACTGATCTGATAAAACAGATATTGCTTGCGGCTTGTACTGAATATGAAAAGATCCTTCAACCTCATACTCTAAAGTTTTCAAGTTGTAAATTCCCTTTAGACTGCTTTAATAGATGCTTAAACCTTAATAAGCTTAAATGAGTCTTAAAATTATTAAATTCTCAAAGTTGCTGATCCAAAACCGAAACTAGTCCGCGCCCAGGCGGAGAAAATATACGAACCTGCAAACTTCGAATGGCTCCTTCCCTGTTTCTGTACACTGCGTAAAAAATGGCTGACACAGCAGCGCTTCCCAAACCAGCGTATAAATAAAGGTATTCCGACATTTTGGGGTCAAAATGTTACTTCTAGGGCTTCAAAACTTTTCACAGTTCTCGAAACGACATTACAGCCGCCATATTGCCCTAATTTACTTACCAGTCCTGCGCAAATTTTAAAGTCGCAACCACGTGGTATTTGTATAACTACCGAAAGTGTCAAGAATTTTCCTACCCAAGCTCCCGTAGCACAGTCGGTTAGCGCGTCGTACTTATAAGCAGTACAGGCGAGTTTCGCTGAGGGTGCTCAAGTAATGCGAAGGTCGGGGTTCAATCCCCCCCGGGAGCAATGGGTAATTTTTTTCTTCTTCTTTTTTTTTCTTTCTATAATAAAACAAACTATCAGAAATCCCAAGTTGCCTGATTTATTTATATTCTGTTTTATCTCAATTTTGTCTGTAACCTACCAAAATATTTTATATTTTTTTCGTGATCCATTTCTTCCTCAAAGGGATGCTACGCCAAATGTAGTATTTGTATTACTAGTAAATTGTCTTATATACTATAGTCAAGTCATTTAAAGGGACACTGTCCTGATTTTAGCATGATTTTGGAAGCTCAGAAACATATCTAGATCATAGGAAGTTGAACAATAATGGTTTGATTCTGTAGAATAGCACTCGACAAATGACAGGAACCCATTAGGAAGTGAAGATGACGAACGGCAGCGAGGATGGAAATGGATTGCAATATGGATTTTTGAAAAAACGTCAGGATGTCAGTTTTTCAAAGTTTAAAATTTGGCTCGGAAATCTTTGAAATTTTGCAAAATTTTTGTTGCAGTATGGAATTTCTTGAAGAAATTGCTTTTTATCATTTAGTTAGAGTTTGCAAAGTTCTTATTTGATATATTTAGGGACCATTTCGTGCATTTATAACAGTTTTGAGCAAATACGCCGGGCCAGTGTCCCTTTAATTCAATGAAATTTGAGTAAAATACCTGACATAGTCAGATTTTAATTTTATTGAAAAACTATGAAATTTCCGCGATAAAATTCCGAAAAGGCAAGGCTTTTCTGGTGGGCTTCTTTTCTGGAGGGCTTTCATATTATCAGAAGGAATTTTGCATATCAAAAAAATGGTTTGCGGTACGTTTAATATATTTGAAAGTTATTTTGCATTTTCGTTCAGCTTTTTTTAAGGCGGGGTTCTACCTGAATGCCATTTTTCCTTAACATTGGTTTAATGGAAATATCTCGTTCGCGTTTCAAGCAATCCAAAAACTCTCCACTCATCCCATGAATCTATGTTATAAATTTTTGGGTGATTTTGGGGTATTTTGGGGAGGAAATAGTTTTTCTCAAAGGAGTTGTAAAATTTAGGGAAATAAGAAATATTGAAGATTTAATGTAGTTTTAAAATTAGAATTTGAAGTTAAAAATTAGTAGATTGACAATTGACGACAGTTGATAACCACGCAAGAGCACCCGCGTGGGTATCAACTGTCTGTTGGTGTTCCAAATTTTTTTTTTCCCTTCTATCCCTTCTTTAAACCTCTTAAAATTTCATTGAAATTCAGGTAGAATCCCCCCTTAAGCCGGCAGATAACGGAATTGAATGGTACTGGGTGAGAATGAAATACTGACGAATGAGATAAAAGTGCCAAAAGTTTTACAAAAAAACAATGTTTCGGCCGGGCTTTGCCCTTCATCAGTGGCAGTTTGTTATAACTTGAGACTACCCTGTGCCTGTCAACAGGCTCTATGGTGCGTGGGGTGATAGCTATATAGGGCGAAAAAAATTCAAAATGGGCGAGCGGAGCCGAAGTAGCCGAGCGCTGACCGGACTAGCCAACTGACAGTTTTTTTCGCCGATTTTCTTTTCTCCCTCTACCCCACTTGAGGAGCCTGTTCTGGCACAGGCTAGACGAGACAGACATCGATTTCCATGACAACAAGTTTTGAAGGATTTCTGATACCATACTGATTTATTTTTTTATTTTATGTCTACATTTAACAAGAACCGGCATTTTTTTCGTGGTAAGATAAACAACACAGGAAAATGTTTAACTTTTTTCAATGTCAAATATGACAAATATATATATACTATAGTTTAACATTTGAGTTTATTGAGCATTCCAAGCAAAATTCTTAATAATTATAACTGTTCGGATCATAGTCTTCTCTGTCACTCTTCAAAGGTGTAAAATAAGTTGTTCAATCTCCTTGCATCGTTTCTCGCTCTCTTTTGCTGTCCAACATCAGTAGAATATTTCAAATTCCTGACTGGCTCGGGCTGATATCCTTCGGGGTCCTAACATGAAGAATGAAGGAAAGTTTATATAATCGTACCTTGTACTTGTCATTTTTCCTTACAGTCTGTGCACTCCGTTTACACTTCGTTTTCACTTTGTCTTTTACAATTTATTATAAATATATATTTAAAGTAATAAATAGTAATCTAATTGTATATATAAATAATTTAAATATAGTTGAAAATGTAAGGAAATGCCTAGGGCCTAAATAAACCGGTAGGTTTTCGGGTTTATAGACACTAGACAGATATAATGTTGCACACTTGTACATATAATTTCTCTCGGATTTAAAAAGTATAACATTTTGCCTGGTGTAATATATATATATAAGTTTAATTGCAGACTTTGAGTATTAAAGAAATCAAATTTTACACGGGAATTATTTGACACGCGCCATTTATAGTTTGCACCCTTTTTAATGGCGCGAAAAAAATTTAATTTGCGTCCCTTTATTGAGCCAGTCTCGGAGTGCGTCACCGAATTGTGAATCAGACTGTTGTATATGTTCCCATCGTAATACAATAAATTTAGTCATCGTCAGCTGAAATAATCGTACGTACCTTGTACGAGGACGGATCAATCACTGCAGAGCGGCCAGCTAGGAAATTATGTGCAAGTTGTCCGCGTATAAATTGAACTTGCAGAACAAGAACTACAAGAAAACAAACCAAAAATCGAACCATCTTTCCGCGATTACAACACATCATTTTCTAGAAATGTGGCTCAGTTGAAACCTGTTTGAAAGCTGACACAAGTTATGACCCGCTATAAATATACATCCTCATACTAATTTGAACAAAAACATTTGATCACAACACGGAAGGACGCGAAGGACGCGTTTATTGAGGAATCGAAACATGGTGTGTCTAATTTCCTTGTCGCGGGCGTGATCAGTAATTGTTTTAAAAGCGTTTTCCGTTCCTGTGAGTTTTTCTTCCTCCTTTCTTTTAAAATTAGGTCCGTGATTATCATATTCAGGATGAAAAAAAGTTGAAGAAGGAAATATTTAGGAAGTTTCTAAAATATTATCATCAGTACAGGATGTTATTCTTTGCGGGTCTACCGTAATCTAGGCACTGATGTGATAACCTGCTAACATTTGTCCCCACGCAAGAAATAAACAGATGACAGTAACAAATTAAAAGAAAACTGAGATATAATTCACGGAAGTGAAACTTCTTTTCGATGCTAAATTGCGAATCAGTGCTAACCCGTTGCTATTACTGAAATTGGCTACACATAGTTCTGCCTTTCTACTGATAACCTAAACCTGGTTTTATATCAGAGTCAGTCTTCGCTCACCACTTCGATTCTGTTCACTCATTCAGCTTCATTCATTGATCATGACATGTAAACGCGCCCATGCAGTCCGGCATTCGCCCACACCCATATATGCATGGCAATTTGTTCATACTCACAATGCTCGCTCAGTGCACTAACCACTAACACACCCATTCGCTCGCTCTCGAACTGCTGGCAAATTTCTCAGTGGTAAATTCGCCCATTTACTCACTACAACACTACTGAACTCATTCACTCATTCCGGGTAGTATACTGAGACGAAAATTTATAACTCAGTATAAAAGAAACGACTTCTTATATTTTTTTTACGAGATTTTTTATTTATTTATTTTTTTACGAGATTTGTTATTAGTATAAAAATCGTCAGCATGTTGGTCATGTAAGATTTTCGACTGATTCTGGAAACAGAAACATTCTCTTTCACCCATCTGTAATTAATTAATCACTCCAGATAAATTTATTTTCCGGCCTTGAAATTAAACTGAAAAAAATCCTGGGGAAGGTGTACCAGTTCTCTCTTAGTTACTTTCTTTACCTTCTGCTCAAACTAAACTAGCGATTAAAGTTGTAAAATAATTTCTTCTGGATTTGATAGTTAACCAATCGGAGGAGGTTTGAGATCTATTGAGGGTATACAGTACGAATGCTGCTAGCTGGATATTCCAATAAGTATAAGAAACTCCAAAAGAGGCGAGAAAGACGACAATATATTTTACTTGATAGCACAGGACGCAAGTTATAAAAACAGACGATCGAAATACTCAGTATTCAGTATTTTATTCATATCATTTTGTTAAACTATCTTTGACATGCAGTACTATAATCTACTGATCTCTTTACAGACAATTCCTATGCTGTGTCTTGTCAAACTATCAATTTGTTTTTCTGAAGCCTGAGGAATTCAATGGTTGTTAAGATCTCTGTCGCGGTTCCTCCTGTAAGCGTCTACTGCGTCTCTCGATGGCCCGGCCGGTGTATCGGCTGATTCTCTCTGGTAAAGGCGATTTCCATCCAGGTAATTTGCGCTCCTTGCTTCATCATGTCCTGCTGCGTCCTGTGGAGTAACGATAGATTTTTCAAGTTAGGCCTGTTGTTCTGATGCTGTTCTGCGTGTCGCCTGGAGACATGTCTATGACACCCGGGGGGGGGGGGGGGTACTCAAAAAAGTTTTATACGGGGAGGCTCCGCCCAGAGGTCCAACCCCTTACCCTTTCATATACCATTTTTCACAGAAAAGGTACCCCTTTCATATACCTTCCATAGAAAATGGTACCCCTTTCATATACCTTCCATAGAAATTATGAAAATGGTACCCCTTTCACATACCTACAGTAGAAGCACTGCATCCCTTTTCTATACCCTTGTAATGAACTTAATGAACAATATATATCACCAGAAATCATCAAGCATTACCAGTAGAGATGTTAACCAAACAATAATATCATTTACTCGTGAAATCCCTACCCTTTCATATACTTCAACTCGTGAAATCCCTACCCTTTCATATACTTCAACTCGTGAAATCCCTACCCTTTCACATACCTCGAGCCTAAAAAAGGACCCCTTTCGGGCGGAGCCTCCCCGTATAGTCCATTATAGGGAGTACCCCCCCCCCCCCCCGGGCTATGACAAGGCTTAAACCTCAGACTATGAAGTCATATAAAAGTTAGCATTCAGGTTCGCCGCGCTTTATTTTAACCAGTTCTGTATAACTGTTGAATCTTCAAATGCCG